CTGCTCACACGCGGCTGCTCCATCAGACGCCGGCGGCCGAACGCGCCGACAGGTAAAATTTACAAGGCGGCCGAGGGGGGGAGCCGGGAGGGAGCGCTGAGGGGGAACCGGGCCGGGTTCTGAGGGGACACCAGGCCCCGGGGCCCTGAGGCGGCGACCGGCCCGTTCCCCGGGACCCTGAAGGGAAGGATCTCATCCTCTGGGGTTTTAATCCCTGCAGACGTAGCAGAAACCAGTTCCAGCACAGTGTCCTGGCACGCAGAAGGGTAACTAGAACGGTGTTTGCATAGCAAATCCTTTTCAAATTTCTCCTATGGAACAAACGAAGTTGACCTCGAAAACAAATTTCAGACATGAGAGTGCAAAGTAGCGCGCAGGCCTCGCTGCTGAGTATCTGACTCTGCTCTGCTCTCCCTCTTCGCTAACAGTAGGGAGCTTTTGGCAAAATAAAGCAGTTATTCCAATCTTCCTTTCCAGGCAAGTTAGCAATGCTCGTTAAGGGGGGGCTTAAGGAAGCTGTGGCTGCCCCATCCCTGGAGGGGTTCAAGGAGCTCTCCCCCCGGTTGGGGCCGTTCCCTGCCCCGGTGGCGGGTCCGAGCTCTCCCCTGCTCTCTCCTCGCAGGTCTTCGCCTCCCCCGGTGCGGCGCGCTGGCCTGGCGGTGAGGGACGCAGTCTCTTTCCTTATTTCTTAAAAGCCAGGACTAACTGGCAGGTGGAGGTGACCCTGCCAGGAACCCCCTATAATTTGAGTACAGCAAATAGAAGGGCTCTGCCTGAGAAACACACTCCACAGCTCTCCCCCCAGCCGGGGCAAAAGCCCCCCCTGTTACAAACGCAGCCCCCAGCAGCAGCAGAGGGTGTGGGGTTGTCCGTAAGCGACGCACCAGGGATGCTCCATGGGATCACAGCTCCTCAGGCTCACGATCGCATTCTGCAGTTACGCTTATTAACTGGAGACTGATGCTCCTGTTTGTCCTCAGCTCTGTCCAAGTCCAGCAGAAGAGCTCTGCTGTTGTCCAGAAGAAGTCCTACGTCCCCGCGAGCAGGGGCGAGTACATCGTCACCAAACTCGATGACCTCATCAACTGGGCACGAAGGGTGAGCGGCTGGAGCGGAGGTGCTGGTGGGAAAGGGATTGGAGCCCTCTCCTCCTGGGGATAAAAATAGGCTCAAAACTCTCCCCGGGGAAGCAGCCAGGTTTCTTGGCCGGAGGTTGACATTTGGGGGGGCTGTGTCGGGGCGGGAGAGATGTGTGTGGTGGGGGTGGGACGCGGTGGCTGCTCGTCTTGGCACTTTCTGGTTTACGCAGTGCTTGTTGATGCTGCCCCAAGCCCCATCTGCTCTGCCTTCCTGAGCTCTGCCCTCTCCAGCCCCCCCTGCCCTTGTGTGGGTTTTCTGAGGGGGCTGGGGGACCCACCTGAGATGTGAAGGGGGGAGTGTCTCTAACGTTGGGTGCCTTTGGCATCGCCGAGGGCACAAACTCACCCCCCTCTGCCCGTCTCTTTCCCCAGAGCTGTGGGTTTCTCTCCAACGTGACAAAACCCACCATTTCCATTTACGATGCTCTGACTGAACAGACCTTGAAACTTCTCTTGCGCCGTTTCCCCTTCTGTCTGACCAATTCTTTGTGCTTTGAGTCACCCCCAAAGGGTCCCCTCTCCCGTTTTGGGCGTTCTCACCCGTGACCCCCCTGTCTCTCCTGCTGCAGAGCTCCCTGTGGCCCATGACCTTCGGGCTGGCGTGCTGCGCCGTGGAGATGATGCACATGGCAGCCCCTCGCTACGACATGGACCGCTTCGGGGTGGTGTTTCGAGCCAGCCCCCGGCAAGCGGACGTCATGATCGTGGCCGGCACCTTAACGAACAAAATGGCCCCAGCGCTTCGGAAGGTGCGGGGCGGGGTGGGGTGGGTGCCCTCGTGCATCCCAGGGGGGTGGATGGAGAAGGGTCTGAAATGTCTTGTGTCCTGCAGGTCTACGACCAGATGCCGGAGCCACGCTACGTGGTCTCCATGGGGAGGTAAGTGCTGGGATGTCCTTGTCACCTTGTGTGTGAGTCTGGTGGCTCCGCTTGGGTGGGAGATGAAGGGAGGGGAACCCATTTCTCGCGTGGGGGAGGTCTGGTGGCTCCGCTTGGGCGGGAGATGAAGGGAGGGGAACCCATTTCTCGTTTATATCTCCAACCCCTTTAATTATATAAAGAGGCCGTGTTACAAGCGAGACATAAAGGCTCCCTTTGGGGTGAGGAGAACGATGTCTGTCCGGTCCCCGTGAGCTGGGAAGTCTTCCCAGGGAAAGATTCTGGGGTTTTTACGGCTGTGGGAGTCTGGGGATGTCTCAGAATCGGTGTTTAGACAAAAGTTTTCAAAATGCTCCTGCTGCACAGTGTGAAATGTGGGCTCTGTGGAGCTCTGGCCTGGTGGAACCAGCAGCTCGTTTGTCTCCTGGAGCTGGGGCTGAGGACGGGGCCTGGAGGGGACAGAACAAGTCCCAGAGATGCTCTGTGCAGACGTGGCAAAATAAGAAAGGTTTTGCCGTAGAGAGGAAGGACCCTCACTCAGTGTCTGCTTTGTGAGAGCGATGAAAGGGGTCGGTTTGGTCACTTGGTGACGAGGCTGAAGGGCCACCAGCGTGAGCCTTGGCACCCTCTCTGTCCCTCGGGGGCCGGGGTCCCCTTCTCCTTTGCCTCCTGCTCTTCATCCCCACCGAAACCCCCCCGTCTCTTGCAGCTGCGCCAACGGCGGGGGCTACTACCACTACTCCTACTCCGTGGTGAGGGGCTGCGACCGCATCGTGCCCGTGGACATCTACGTGCCAGGTAGGAGAGAGGGGCTCTGCCCACCACGGTGCTAACGCGGGGCAGGCGGGGGGCCGGGGGGATTCTGTCTGTCTGGAGGGAGCTCGGGGCAGCTTCAAAGGTCCTTCCGTTTCGAACGGTGCTGCTGCAGCTGCAGATGCCTCAGTGGGATCTGCCCGGGGTTCTGCTGGTGATGTTCCTCACCAGTGACTCGGGTGGGCTGTAGTTTAGTCAACCACACGCTCTCCTGTGAGACACCACCTTGCTTAAAAGCAAAACGTTTCTAGGTTTTATAAAGACCTTTTCGACAAACCCCACGACTTCAGTTTATTTAAACTAAAGAAGCTCTTTATGAGCTCTGCAGCCTGTGACACCCACACAGAGGGAGATCACAGCCTGGTTGGGGCCAAAGCCCGGGGCTTCTTGGTTCTGCTTCTGGCTACAGGTCGGTGCAGCCCCACGGGCTTCCCTTTGCCTCCCTCTCTCAGGTTGCCCACCCACCGCGGAAGCTTTGCTGTACGGAATCCTGCAGCTTCAGAAGAAGATCAAACGGGAGAAGAAGATCCAGATCTGGTACAGGAAATAGCCTTTTATTTATGCCCCAGCCCCTCACTGCCCCACCGGGCGCCCGCTCGCACCGTACGCACAAGAAACCTGTGTTCTCACGAGCCTTCAATAAAACTCCACCTGGTTCAGAGACTCCTGTCTTCGATCTGTCCCTCCTCTCCAAAGGGGTTTAACTCCTTTAAAAACGGCACTAAAAAGCAGGATTTGGGTTTGAGGAGGAGGTGGGGTGGTGCTCTGAAGGGCCCATGAGGGAAGGAGAAGGTTGGGAGCTCCCTGTCGTGACATAAACGCCTTTATTTCTAGAATATAAGTAAAATATTAATGCTTGGAATCAGACTATGACTAAGAAAAGGGGACACTGCAGCTTTCCTGGGCACGGAGGGGTAAAGCAGCCCGGGGTGGGTTTGGGACACATCCCAGGAGCTCGGTGTGTTCCTGGGAACAGGACCGGTCCCTGCAGGGTCACACGCGCTTTGGAGAGACGAATAAATGGCCCTGGAACAGCCATTGTGTGTTACATTCCTCTTTAATGGATTTTTATCCCTTCTGGGCGAAGAGAGAAAACATCATTTATGTGCTGTTCACTGCCAGGAGCTCGTCGGAGTCGGAACTCGCCAGGATGGGCTTCGGCCAAAGGCACCGGGAAAGGTCACCCGAGATCCCGCCCCAATAAAACCCCTCAAACTGCCCCGTGTCCCCCCCCTCCCCGTCCCTCCCCCCTGCTTTGGGTTATTTGGCTTCTGTGTGGAAAAAAAGATCCTGTTTTTAGAGGAAATGCCTAATCCTTGAAGCCTTTTGGCTCTTGAATCGCAGCTTAGTTGGTACTTGGAGTCCTGAGTGGGACCCCCCCAGGGCAGGGGGCTGCGTGGAGCTGGTGACAACCTGGTGACAACCCAGTCCTTTGGTCCAGGAGGTCCCCTGAAGACCCGGGAGGTCCATCCCGAGCCTCCAGCCACCTCCCACCTCTGGATGAATGAGCTTCCATCCTCTCTCGTTAGCATCAGAGGAGATAAGAGCTTTTTCTCCTCCTGGCAGCGCACATCATCAGCCTCTCCTCGTTAGCGGTTGCACCCTCAGTGCTTAACGATGGTGGGTGTGATCATCTTGTGGAAGGAGTAGTACCTGCAGTCCTGGGGAGGGACCAGCTCCATCACCTTGGTGCTGATGTTCTCCTTCTTGAACCCGGCCTCCACCAGGTGCCTGACCTGGGTCTCCTGCGGGGGGTGAGGGGTGGGAAGGGGCAGCCATGGGTTGAGGTGTCTGGAGATGCTGCTGAGCCCCGAGGGGACATGGGACAGCACAAGGGGCTGGGGGCAGGGACCCCCATCTTGGGCTGCCACCAGCAAAACCCCCCTGACCATCCCTCGGATGTTCCCCACCGAGCCCCGGCCATCATGGAGCAGTGGAACAGCTGTGGAGCGCTCTGGCTCCTGCTTCTCTGTGGCCAGAGCCTCAGGCTGGGGGTCCACAGGCGTTGGGGACCCCCCGGGTTGGGATGGGGGGCACTGGGCCCTCCCCATCACAGCCCCCAGAGCTCACCTCAAACATCTTCTCGATGTCGCTATACTTGGTCTTCAGCAGCTCCCCCCAGGAGGTGAGGTTGCAGTAGGTGAGGACCCCGCCGGGCTGCAGCAGGCGGAAGGCATGGTCCTGCAACGGGAATTTGGGGGAGGGGGGGGTCTGGCTCAGCACCCCCAGCTCGGCACCTGGACCCCCCCTTTGAGCCCCCATTTCTCCCCCACGGAGCCAGACATTGCCCCCGTGTTCCTGCTGCTCCCCTCCTGATGCCACCACGTGGACCGATAGCGCTGCCGATGCCACCATAGAGCTGGGGACATCACAGGGACTTCATGGGGACATCACAGGGACATCATGGGGGGTTTCCAGAGGGGACACTAAGTCGGCTCAGCACCCCCAGCTCGGCACCTGGACCCCCCCTTTGAGCCCCCATTTCTCCCCCACGGAGCCAGACATTGCCCCCGTGTTCCTGCTGCTCCCCTCCTGATGCCACCACGTGGACCGACAGCGCTGCCAATGCCACCATCGCGCTGGGGACATCACGGGGACATCGCGGGGACAGGGGGGGTTTCCAGAGGGGGCACTAAGTCTCGGGTGGTGGGCAGGGGGGGTGCAGGGGTGGCAGGGGCTGCAGACCCAACACCTGGCTCCAAACTTCTTCTCCCTGCTCCATCTGACCCTGTCTCCCCCAAAATCCCCCCGGGAGGAGGGCTCTGGCTCCTGGCGGAGGGGGTGGGAGGG